TATAGAACAGACTTGTGGACTCTGGGAGAAGGCGAGGGTGGGATGTTTCAAGAGAACAGCATTGAAACATGTATATTATCTAGGGTGAAACAGATCACCAGCCCAGGTTGGGTGCATGAGACAAGTGCTCGGGCCTGGTGCACTGGGAAGACCCAGAGGGATTGGGTGGAGAGGGAGGTGGGAGGGGGGACCGGGATGGGGAATACATGTAAATCCATGGCTAATTCATTTCAATGTATGACAAAAACTACTGTAATGATGTAAAGTAATTAGCCTCCAACTAATAAAAATGAATGAAAATAAAATAAAATAAAATAAGCATTGCCTGAAGCAAAAAAAAATAAAAAATAAAAATAAAGGGAGGTTTTAGTTTACAGCAAAATTGAGCAGAAAGTCCAGGTAGTTCTCATACACCCCTTAGCCCTCTCTCCCCCACCTCCACGGTTACTGACATCTGGTAGAGGATGAGATGGTTGGATGGCACCACCAACTCAATGGACATGAGTTTGAGCAAACTCTGGGAGATAGTGAAGGACAGGGAAGCTTGGCATGCTGCAGTCCATGGGGTCACAAAGAGTTGGACACGACTGAGCAACTAAACAACACCATTTGCTACAGTTGATGAGCCAACATTAATGCATTGTTGTTAACCAAGGTCCATAATTCACATTACTGTTCAGTTTTCCTGTTGTACATTCTATGGGTTTTGACAACTGTGTGATAACATGTATCCTCCATTGCCGTATCATCTGTATCAAATTATCAACAGAAGAGTTGCCCATACTCTTCATCCTCCTTGGCTGCCATGAGCATCAGCCTTCCTACACAGTCCTGACCTTGAGGAGTTCCTGACGATGGGGAGGCAGGGCCAGCCCAGGGGCCAGCCAGGAGGTCACCAGTCTCTGGAATACCCTTGGGAACACCAAGGCCGGCAGCAGGAGGGAACATTGCCTGGGCTTGGCCTTGCCCCTTGGGGCCAATCCTACCTTTTTGGCGGGGCCAGGGGGGAGAAGGGAGGAAGGTAAGGCAGATACCATCATTCCACATGCCAGGAGCTGTGCCATTCGCCTGCTGCCTTGGCTCCCTTGCCTTCTGAAAGGCATTGCGGGTCCACAGATGTAGGGGCTGGTGCTCAGAGGGAAAGCTGGGGGGTAGCCTCTCCTACCAGTGGACCCTTGTCAGGACACAGAAGAGGAAGTTCTCTTTGTTTTGCTGGACACCCCCCCAGTGTCCAGGCGCTGGGCCCTGGAGGGCTGGCTCTGGACTCAGGTTCATGCCTGCTGGGCTAAATGACCCATATCTATGCTGGGTGGGTAAGGGTAAAAGAAAAACCAACTTAAACATTGCTCTTTACTGTTTTCAAGACTTTTCTCATATATTCTATCAGCTAGCCTCATAACCACTCTGGGAACTCAAGGAGGCTGGTGAGTTGACTGACTCACGCACATGGAGAAGCAGGCTCACAGAGGTCAAGGGCTTGCCCAAGGGCACAGCTGGGTCCCTGGCACTCTTCTCACTGTGGCCTGCCAGGCAGCCCTGGTTCGCCCAAGGCCCCATTCCAGTGTGGAATCCAAGCCACTAGTCTTGACCTGATCAGTGCTCAGAAATCTCCCACCTTCATGTGTGGTGAACTGTGTGTGTTATGATTCAGGAAGGTGTCTGAACCCATTAGACTCCAAATTCCTGGAGGGCAACCACAGAATTCGTGCTTCTCTGGGCCCAAGTCTGACACAGTGAGCTGGGGGGTGTGGAGGAGTGCAGAAGAAACGATTTTTAAAAAGGCTAATCAAGAATTGACTGTGTTAAAAAAAAAAATGGAAGAAAAAGATCGGTCTGATACAAGATGGCATCATTCACCAAAATCTAGTGTTTGTTTTCTATAAAAAGTATAAGCATGTATTATTTTTACAAGAAAAAAGCAACCATTCTCGTTTTAAGGAACAATTACAAAATGGCAAAAGTTTTGAAAGCAAACAATCTTGAATTTGGCACTTAGAAAAGTTCCTTAACCTCTCCAAACTCCTTTTCTTCATCTTCAAATGAGCAAACCATTACCACTCACCCCACTGTTGGAGACAAGGCTGTTTGGAGAATTAGGTGAGGGTTCACGTAAGGCGGTGCCTGGCATGATGTGAGTGGCCAACACATGCCTACTTTTAAAAGGAGGGGATTTCCCTGGTGGTCCACTGGTTAGGACCTGGTCTGTCACTGCTGTGGCCTGGATTCAATCCCCAGTCAGGGAACTAAGATCCCAGAAGCCGGGCAGCATGGCCAAAAAACAAAAACAAAGACTTTGGGCTTTAAAACAAACAAGCAAACAGCTTTAGTTGTTTGTTAGACTTTAGTTCAGAAGCTTTTTTAGATGTATGGAAAAATTGGGAAAATTGGGAAAATAATATAGGCAGTTCCCATAGTCCTGCATAGCCTCCCCTATTGTTAGCATCTTACATAGTGTGGTACATATGTTACAATTAATCAATCACTCTTGACGCTTTATTATCAACTGAGTTCTAAGCTTTATATTCAGATTTCTTTAGTTTTTTTTTTTTTTTGGTATGAGAAATGGCATTTTTTAATTCATAAATACAAATATATAATTACCAGAAATAGTTTATATGGCCAAAAGTGAAGTCGCTCAGTCATGTCCGACTCTTTGCGACCCCATGGACTGTAGCCCACCAGGCTCCTCCATCCATGGAATTTTCTCGGCAAGAGTACTGGAGTGGGTTGCCATTTCCTTCTCCAGGGAATCTTCCTGACCCAGGGGTGGAACCCGGGTCTCCCTCACTGGGGGCAGACGCTTTACCGTCTGAGCCGCCAGGGAATCCCACATGGCTAAAAGGGGGCATCAAAAATAAATCAAAGCTGTCAAAAGCAGAGCAAACCAAACAGGACACAATGAAGAGAAAATAACTCTGTACGTACTCTTCAAAATGCTGGGCCATCCGCAGCCAGCCTGGGCCTGGGTTCCTGCTCTGCCTGCAGAAGCAGCGCAAGGGGGACCACAGACAGGTGAGGAGAGCGCAGCATCCATGCCCATGGTGCACACACAGCTGTGGGCCCTCCTGCTCCGGCAGCTGTTGCTCCGACAGCCCAACCTGCCTGACCCTTGGGATAGATTTCTTTAGTTTTAAACCAGTGTCCTTTTTCTGTTTCAGGATTACACGTCCACTTTGATTGTTTTTTATTACCATTCTTGTTTTTGTTGTACAGATACTTAGCAAACGCCTCTCCCCAGCCCTTCCCTTTCTGGGTAGGAGCCACGCAGGCATTGAAACTTGTTCTCTTAGCCTCTTAACAGGAAGCAGGGAACAGAGCTCAACCTGCAGGCTGGGTCCTGCCCCAGGGCTGAGAAACATGATGGGCACATGTGTGTGTGTGTGTTGGGGGGGTGGGGTGGGGGGAGTGTGGGTGTGGCAGGGATGGGCGTTCTATTTCAGGATGAGCGTGACAGGTGGAATGCACCATGGGTGCAATCTGAGCTGCCTGCATTGCAGTCAAAGCCACAGCTCTGAAGCTTCTCTTGAGCAACAGAGTATCCACCAGCGCTCACCCCAAGATGAATCAGAGATGTTTCTTCACCAGAGGTCAAAGGTGAAGCCTGATTTATAAAAACCTCCCTAGCCCAGCACTCCTCATCACCGCTGTGCACACTCTTGGCATTCCAGACTTCTCTGCAGAGGGGTAAGTGTCCTTTCCTTGGCTCAGCCCTTGGGGGCCACAACTCCTTGCCATCTGAACCCCCTCTGGCTGACTGCACTTTGGGACCAAGGATGCCAGCTCTTGATCTGACAGGAAGACCCAGCCTCAGGACTTGGGAATGGCCAAGGTGGGTGGGGTGGCCAGCATGTGGAAGGGCCCTAAACTACCATCGCTTGGGGAGAGGAAACAGTCTGGGCAACAGGACCGTTCCCAGTTGAGCCTGAGTGACCAATACTCTTTGAATTATACTCCCCAGGAGATGGGGGCACTTGGAACACGTGACAGTTAAGGCTGATTCTCTTATACTTCAGGTGGTATCCTATGTCCTTCTCCCCCTATTCTATCCACAAATAAGAACATTCACTGTGGGTCAAACAGAGCAGCAGACTCGGGATAATTGCCCTTGTCTAAACCATTAATGAGGAAAGAGGAGACAGTGGAACTGCGGGGTTGGGGAAGCACTGCCCAAGACCTCCCTTGTCTCCTAAAGGTGAACGTAGGTTGGTAAGATGACTAAGCTGGAAGATTACCTGGAGGGAATCATCAACATCTTCCACCAGTACTCATGGAACCCGGGTCTCCCTCACTGGGGGCAGACGCTTTACCGTCTGAGCCGCCAGGGAATCCCACATGGCTAAAAGGGGGCATCAAAAATAAATCAAAGCTGTCAAAAGCAGAGCAAACCAAACAGGACACAATGAAGAGAAAATAACTCTGTACGTACTCTTCAAAATGCTGGGCCATCCGCAGCCAGCCTGGGCCTGGGTTCCTGCTCTGCCTGCAGAAGCAGCGCAAGGGGGACCACAGACAGGTGAGGAGAGCGCAGCATCCACGCCCATGGTGCACACACAGCTGTGGGCCCTCCTGCTCCGGCAGCTGTTGCTCCGACAGCCCAACCTGCCTGACCCTTGGGATAGATTTCTTTAGTTTTAAACCAGTGTCCTTTTTCTGTTTCAGGATTACACGTCCACTTTGATTGTTTTTTATTACCATTCTTGTTTTTGTTGTACAGATACTTAGCAAACGCCTCTCCCCAGCCCTTCCCTTTCTGGGTAGGAGCCACGCAGGCATTGAAACTTGTTCTCTTAGCCTCTTAACAGGAAGCAGGGAACAGAGCTCAACCTGCAGGCTGGGTCCTGCCCCAGGGCTGAGAAACATGATGGGCACATGTGTGTGTGTGTGTTGGGGGGGTGGGGTGGGGGGAGTGTGGGTGTGGCAGGGATGGGCGTTCTATTTCAGGATGAGCGTGACAGGTGGAATGCACCATGGGTGCAATCTGAGCTGCCTGCATTGCAGTCAAAGCCACAGCTCTGAAGCTTCTCTTGAGCAACAGAGTATCCACCAGCGCTCACCCCAAGATGAATCAGAGATGTTTCTTCACCAGAGGTCAAAGGTGAAGCCTGATTTATAAAAACCTCCCTAGCCCAGCACTCCTCATCACCGCTGTGCACACTCTTGGCATTCCAGACTTCTCTGCAGAGGGGTAAGTGTCCTTTCCTTGGCTCAGCCCTTGGGGGCCACAACTCCTTGCCATCTGAACCCCCTCTGGCTGACTGCACTTTGGGACCAAGGATGCCAGCTCTTGATCTGACAGGAAGACCCAGCCTCAGGACTTGGGAATGGCCAAGGTGGGTGGGGTGGCCAGCATGTGGAAGGGCCCTAAACTACCATCGCTTGGGGAGAGGAAACAGTCTGGGCAACAGGACCGTTCCCAGTTGAGCCTGAGTGACCAATACTCTTTGAATTATACTCCCCAGGAGATGGGGGCACTTGGAACACGTGACAGTTAAGGCTGATTCTCTTATACTTCAGGTGGTATCCTATGTCCTTCTCCCCCTATTCTATCCACAAATAAGAACATTCACTGTGGGTCAAACAGAGCAGCAGACTCGGGATAATTGCCCTTGTCTAAACCATTAATGAGGAAAGAGGAGACAGTGGAACTGCGGGGTTGGGGAAGCACTGCCCAAGACCTCCCTTGTCTCCTAAAGGTGAACGTAGGTTGGTAAGATGACTAAGCTGGAAGATTACCTGGAGGGAATCATCAACATCTTCCACCAGTACTCTGTTCGGCTGGGGGATTACGATACCCTCATCAAGCGTGAGCTGAAGCAGCTGATCACAAAGGAACTTCCCAACACCCTCAAGGTATGGGAGGCTCCTCTCTTGGCAAAGTTTCCCACCGCCTTGCTCTGAAGGCGGTGGCCTGAAGGATGATGGCGGGGGCAAGGACTGGGGTGGGTTCACCCCAGTTTGCGCTCCCGAGGATGTTTCCCAGCCTCTTCCACCCGCAGTACAGGGGGCCACCTCTCTCTCTCTCTCTCTCTGAATAGCTCTCACCATCACCTTAGGCTGCTTCATTCCTTCCTCTCTCTGTAAAGTGGAGAGAGGCAGGGCCGGGCGGGGTTGGATTACTGAGTTATACAACATCTTCCAGGTTGAGACTTGGTTCTAGGATGGCTCAAGACAGCTGCTTCTCTTCTGCCTTCCATTTTCTCATACTGGATTCTTCCACATAGTTTTGGCTCATGAGTTACTCGTCCCTGGCTGCCCTGAGCTGAGTTCTGAGGGATGTGAGGCCTGAAGAAAGTGGAACTCACCACCCCTGCTTTCTTTTCCCCCAGAACACCAAAGATCAACCTGCCATTGACAAAATATTCCAAGAGCTGGATGCCAATAAAGATGGACAGGTCAGCTTTGAGGAATTCATAGTCCTGGTGTCCAGGGTGCTGAAGACAGCCCACGAAGATATCCACAAAGAGTAGGAAGCTCTTTCCAGCAATGTCCCCAAGAAGATATTCCCTTCTCCTCCCTGAGGCTGCCTTACCTGAGGGAAGAGAGAATTAATAAACATACTTTGGCAAAGTTCTTAGCAGAATCTGTGTCCTGTTTTTTCTTTTGCCAAACTTGATCCTTCCTCACCCCTGCTGTTCTGACAAGCCCGATTTAGACTTCTGAGACCCCATCTCTGTCTGCTCATTTGTTCACCAACAATTTACTAAATCTCTCTAATTTGTTCATTTATTCAACAAATATTTAGTGAGCATCTATAATAGCCAACGATCAAAGACATGAAGTCCTCATCCTTTTGGGGTTTTCATTCTAATAGGGAGGGAATTGAAAATGAACCAGCCAACAAACGACTAAGTATTAGCATACAAATGCATCCTGTGATACACTGGTAGGTAATGAAAAGAGATATATAGAAACCTAAAGCAAAGGATTATAGGGCAGAGGGAAGGACAGGGTTCCTGGTTTAAATATGTTGACTGAGGGATGCATTTGGGCAGAGATTTTGAAAGGATGGAGAGCAGCTTGCGGATGTCTGGGGGTCAAGAGCTCCTGTAGAGAGAGGTCGAGGCCCTGAGACAGGCTTGAGCCTGACCTGCTCGATGGCCAGTATGGTGGCGGGTGCAGAGCTGAGGCGGGGCTGGTGGGAGGTGAGCGCCTGCAGGAAACAGGTGTAGGGAGCAGGGGCTTACAGTCTGTGGGGAGGACCTCAGACTTTGTGCCAAGTGTGCTAAGGAGTCACAGGGGGTTTTGAGCAAGAGAGTGAGATGATTTCACTTATGCTTCCTGTACAGATCATGAAACTTGGGGCAGATTTGAAAAGGTGGAGGAGAAAGGGAGACAGGAGCAGGAGGCAAGCATGGGTACGTGGGAGGGAAGACTTCTCAGGCCAGACTCCCTCCCCACACTGATCTAGGCCAGGTTCTTCGTGACATGGTCCCCTAGGACTGTGCTGCTCTCCTGCCGGGCTCTTCTCTCCTGCTGAGATTCTGTATCCACTGGGGTGCTTCTTTGTTTAATGTCTGTCTCCTGCATTGACAGGGGCGTGTGCAAGTAGGTGCGGTGTCTCTGTCATCAGCACTGTGCTTGGCATGAAGTAGTTATTTCAGAAATATCTCTTACAGAAGTGAGTGTATGAGGGCTTACCTGGCGGTCCAGTGGTTAAGAATCTGCCTTCCATTGCAGGCAGGCGACCCAGGTACCATCCTGGGTCTCACAACAGGGCTCACAAAAAAAAGTTCTCATCCTGAATCAAATACCCAGTGCAGTTAAAAAAAAAAGAATGAATGAATGGAAATCGTTTTTGTTCAGTCACTCAGTCTTGTCCAACTCTTTCTGACTCCATGGACTGCAGTGCACCAGGCTTCCCTGTCCTTCACTATCTCTTGGAGTTTGCTCAAAACTCATGGAAATTAATAGGCTATTGACTTGATTCCCTATAAAAGGTCCAGGGTGAAACAGGAAGGAGCATGGAATAATCTCCCTAGGGGCCAAGTGTCAGGTTCCCTAGTGAAAAGTGCATTCCATCTGAATGGGAAGAAGTTAGTGGGGGCCTCCCTGTCCACCATCCCCTGTCAAGTACTCAGTCAGGTCTGGGATAGATGGCATGCTGCTTTGGTCCAGATATCAAGAGGTCCATTTTGTCAAGAGGTCAGAATACCCGCATATTATGGGTGCGTGTACCCTTGGAAATTCATTTGTTGAGGCTCTAACCCCTAGTGTGTTGGTATTTGGAGGTGGACCCTTTGGGAAGTAATTAGATTAGTCATGAGGGTGGGACCTTCACGGTGAGATTAGCGCCCTTATAAGAAGAAGAATAAAGATTTCTCTCCATGAGCACACACGGAGAGGAGGTCATCTGAGCACACAGCAAGTCTACAAGCCTAGGAGAGAGTCCTCACCACACCCTCAACTCTACTTGACAGCCTGATCTCAGGCTTCCAGCCTCTAGAACTGGGAGATTAAATGTCTGTTGTTTAAGCCATCTGGTTTATGGCAGGGCTCCCCAAACTTCAGGCTGTGAACTGGTACCTCCTGTCAGATCAGTGGCAGAATTAGATTAAAAATAAAGTGCACAAGAAAAGTTATGTACTTGAATCAACCTAAAACCATCTCCACACCATGTCCATGGAAAAATTGTTTTCCATGAAACTGGTCCCTGGTGCCGAAAAGTTTGGGGACCTCTGGTCTAGGGCATTTGTTATAGCAGCCTGAGCAGGATGGGGTACCGGGAAAGCAGCAGCCAGGGCGTAGCCTCAGGCTCTGACAGGCCCACCTGCCTCCTCTTCAGCAGTAGGAATGGGCCAGGAGGGCAGAGTTTCTGACACCATTTTAAAAGATTAGGTAACTTGCTAGAGCACAGGTATGACAGATATGAGGAAAAGTGAGCAGAGAAACTTCATATTGGGGCAGAGGTGGGTTTGTATTTTGGTGTGAAGCCGGGCAGAGATGATGTGTAGAAAGCTGGGATTCAGTACTGAGGTCGGGAAGTGATAAGTCCTGGCCCCAGAGGCCCCAGGGTTGGAAGTTTGCTGGACTGTCCAACAGAGGAAACCACTATGTCTGTGATGTGGATCTGAGGCAAAGTTGAGGCTGGAGGAGATTGTGGAAAGTAGGAACCTGTGGAGACCTCTCCTGGGGATGAGGCTGGGGCAGAGGATGAAGACGGGGATGGAGTGGGACTGGCAGAAGATGAAGGACTTCAGGACCCAGAGAACGTGGTCTTGGAATGAAGGCTTCCATCGCTGAAGAATGAGAAAGGAGGACTACTCAGGGAAAGCCCTCATTTTCTGAGTGACCTTGGGAAAATCACTTTGCCTCTCTGGGTCTCTGTCTTCTTCGTTTTTGAAGAATTCAAAGGAATTTTGGAAATTCATTTGAAGAGTTTAGACTAGGTGAACACTCAGATATAATTCAATTTTAACGTTCTGAGATACTTGGATGGGATGGAGAACTTAAAGTAGGATCTAGGAAGATGGGAATCAGGGTATTCTTGGGCAAAGAAATGGTAGTGGCCTAAGTATGAGGATTAAGGTTATATTTCTGGATTCAGATCCTAGTTTTACCTTTTACTAATTGTGAGACCTTGAACTAGTTACTTAAAATCTCTAAGCCTCAGTTTCCCAATCAATAAAATGGAAATAACAGCAGCATCTTTCCCAGAGTTGAAGTGAGGATTAGATAACCTAGCAAAACATGCAAAGCACTTAGCACAGCTTCTGATGCCAAGTAAGCACTCAGTAGGTGTTAACACTAACAGTAAAATGCTAATTTATATGGGAAGGCCACTTGCCAATGCAGCAGACGTGGGTTTGATTCCTGGGTCGGGAAGATCCCCTGGAGGAGGAAATGGCAACCCACTCCAGGATTCTTGCCTGGGAAATCCCATGGACAGAGGAGCCTGGTGGGGTCACAGAGAGTCGGACACGACTGTGTGACTGAGCCCAGATTATGTGACAAGGGACATAAAGGGCACGCTCCCGGGAGCTCTGAGCACACCCCTACCCTTTGGGAGGATACCTTGGGCCGGCACACTGCCGCACACCGTGAGCTAAGTTTACTTGCACATGGGGACTGTGGAGGTCAGGAGAAGAATCTGGATTCAGGGAGATGGCCACCAAGAGCCCCCGGGGCTAGCCTGGCTAGGACTTGTCATTTAACTTGGCCCATATGTAAAAGTCTTCAATGTTAAAAAGAAGCAAACCAGATTGTGAAAATCTGATGGGCAAGACCTGACTTCCTCTGCTTCTCTGATTTCCCTTGTTACTTAACCCAGCCCCAGGTAAGCAGAAGTTCAATTCTTGCCCTTTCAGCATTAATCTGAGGAATCTTTCCTTAATCCTCCCTCCTCCCCACACCTGCTCCACCCAAGAACACTAATGAAAAGCACCTCCTTTGTGCTCCCAGGCACATTATGCTTCTCATCACCTTTGTTTTACGGCCACAACTTAATATGGAAAATAGCTACTTGGGTGTCTGTTGCCCTGTTAGGTTGAAGGCTCCTTGCAGGCAGGGGGCCTGCAAAGGGTTTGACACAAACATCAGGCTCAGTAAATCCCTTTAACAGCCTCCAACCTGATTCCTGTGCTCCAACTCTGGGTCCTCAGTCCCTTGTCCACGCAATAGCCAGTGTGACGCCCAAACATAAGTCACATTGTGTCACTACCTGACGAAGACCCTGCAGACTTTCTCCAGTGCTTCTTGTCATCCAGGTCTCATTCTCATTGTCACCTCCCCGGGAAGCCCTGTCTGGTCCCCCAGCCCAGTTAGTAGTTGTTCTAGCATGTCTTCCTCTTATTGTGGCACTCATCCGCACCTGCAACGATCTATTTCTTCTTCTTTGGCTTGTTTCTTGCCTGAGTTTCCCTGAACAGAAACTCCAGCCGAGCTGGGACCTGCCGTATTTTGTCAACTTGTGACAGTGTCCTGCCCCTTCCGTGATTCAGTGATGCATATTGATTTAGTAGAATCAAGTTACTGTTTGCTAACTGAAGGGAACAAGAGCTTTTATAAAACGAAAGTGAGATGCTCGTGGCGGTGGTGGGGAGGGTGGGGGGACCCGGCAGCAAGTACACCCCATCACAGAGGGCTTTAGACTCCTCGCTGTGGAGAGAAACCCTTTCTCCAGACCTCGGCAATATTCGAAGGCAGTTGTCACAATCCCCTAGAGCTTCTCTTTTCCAGGCTCAATACCCTCAGCCCTATCTATAACTGTTTCCCTGTGTAATCTCCTTCCATTGCTAATGGGCATCTCAGAAGCTGAGCATCTTTTGCTTAGGAGGTGTCATCCCTGGTGAAATATGACCCTGATTATACCTCAAAGGCATTCCCCTCCCAGACAATACCCTACTTACTTGAGACTGCACCTGAGGCCTGAGATCAAGAGGCAGAAAGTACCAAGTGAAGGAGATTCAGAAAGAGACTCAGAAAGAAAATTGTAGGAAGGGAAGAGAAAGAGAGGAGGCAGGCTAAGAGGAGAAGGAAGAGAGGAGGGTGATGGATGGAAGTGGACTGCCCTGTGCCCCATGCTGGAATCCTGCTACCCTGGTGCGAACACCCACTACTCTCTGCTTCACCCCTCGCCTGCCT